TCATAATTATATAATCTATACTAATAAAATTGTCAATGTCTCAATCCACTATATATTGCATGAATACGGTTTTGTTGGCACGTTAGGTTATGCACCGATTGTAAAAAGAAATCAATTTGGATTGGTAAAAAACGAAAATGGGTCTGTTTATGCTTTTATTCATCAATGGGACCGAAGTGAGCAATTGAAAGTACAGTTTCAGAGAGAATATCAGTTAATACCGGCAAATGTTCGCGAAAAAAAACAAATTGTTGGGGATAGCAGTTAGTGCATATTTATCGCTGACTTTTTCTTTCGTGCTTTTTTTTCTGTGTTTTGATCGCTAGTTTTCTCTTATTCTTATCACCTATCTGACCTCTTTTGAACTTGTAAGAACAGACAGGTAGTTGTCTTTGAATTTTGGTCGACACTAGTCGCTTCCTGTTGTTTTTCTCATCGTTTATCAATAAACGTCACCACAAAGATCTCGAGTCATCTCGTTGACTTCCTCAGCATCGAAGTATGACAACTACATACACTAACCGGACCGATACACATTCTAGCTGTCTGTCACCTTACATCCCGCCTATTAACGTCTGATGGGCAGGAGCCTTTCGTAGGAGGGAGCAAGCTAGCACTACTCCTCATGCACCCACCGGAGATCTGTGTGAATTCGAAGTTGGTGCGGCAGATGCTGTGAATATGATAGCTAATAAACTATGCTAGCATTATATGGGTTATACTAGGTTGGAAAAATGTTTTTGGTAGAAAGGTAGTATAGTTATTTTAAAAAGGATGGCTAGCGAATTTGGTACCAAATACAAGCTCGTGAAAAAATGGGACCTGGTGTGTGACGGCTTCTGATGGAAGATATGTATGCGCTGATGCAACTACGTCTATATTTATTTCTTCCTCATAAATCACATCGTTCTGATGCAAGACACGCGTTTATATACTCGTCCATACAGAAGAGAACGCAAGAAGACACCATATCAAGGTACGTCAGAATGTGCCAAATAAGGGAAACCCGTTAGATGAGAAAAATCATATCACGCATACATCGCAAGTCAGAGAAATTGACCCGTAGCGGTATGATTGGTCGTTCACAAGATTATAACAAACTTCAGCCATATTCAAAGTCTCTACTTTTAAACACATGGGCAATTTCATGGGATGATTCACTGTCAAAACATGAAATTCTCATGGAATCTTTCCGTCTTTTAGACTTTGTAGAGCTCACTTTGCTGATCATTTTCATAAAAACGTTTTGAAACTTAATCGATAAATAATGATTTTAGAGTGAATATGGCTATAAACATATTTGTTCTATCGTTCACAACAGCCAGAGACTATCAGTATTTTGACTTTAACACCATACTTTATTCATTGAATTTCAAAAATTTCGAATGACAATGATCAACAAAGTGAGCTCTACAAAACCTAAAAGATTGAAACCTTCCATGAGATTTTCATGTTTTGATGGTGAATCATCCCACGAAATTGCCCAAATAAGTGTTTAAAAGTAGAAAATTTTAATATTTCTGAAGTCTGCTATAATCTTGTAAATGACCAATCATACCACTAGATCCCATTTTTGATGAGCTTTCCTTTGGTATAAAATTCATTAGTAACTTATTAGATTCAACTTAACAAGAACTTCTCTTTATTTTTTTCTCCATCTGCGTCGTCTAATACTCTGTGTCCAATCAAAAGGGAGAGACCCTGAGTGAGGTAAAAGAGGCGTTCAAGAGATGCTACTATCTAACAGAAGTCTATTTGGAAATATGACAATACCCTCCTGTCAAAAGACTTTTCCAACTCGGCGCATTCGACTCGATTCAGTTTTCTGTAAAATTTGTTCATAAAATTTATTTTACGTAAATAGGCATTATCTCATAAATGCAGTAAATGACCTTTTGACTGTATTTTTTTTTTTTTTTTTTTTTTTGATTATGCGAAATTTATTTCGTTCCGTTCATCTCTTTTTTTGTAAGTTTTTACAGTATTTTTCCGAACGCTTACGAAAGGTCGAGGAGACAATATGATGATAACAAACAGAGAAAGAAACAGAGACAAAGAGAACAGAAAACATCGCAGACTGTGGGCAGCGGTGACGTAATCGTCGTATGAATATGTCTAGATTGTTTTTGTTCTTCCGATACCATCCATTGTGTAACCAGCGACACCGTACCGAGGGAAGGAATCGAACCTTCTGATATCTGAATTCTGAATCAGCATTCAGACGCATAGAGCCACTATGCCATCCTCGGCTACCTTTTGACTGTATTTTACTGGTTATTTGTTGTTCTCTTGTCTATACCAACATATAATGAGTCGTCTTTTACCGAACAAATGAATAATCGTCCGAGTCAGTTTTTCGTTCTAATGTATATTATATGACTCGTGTCCGAGAAAAAAAGAAAATTTCCAGTATTTTCTCCCCTGTTCTTTCCTCTGTATCGTTTCGCGTATAAATACAACCGAATTTTTGAAGCATTTCACATGTAGTTCGACGAAACCGATACAGAAGATATTACTAGCTCACTCATTGAATTGGGTTCACTGAATGATGAGTTGGATACAATGAATCTTGATTTTGACAATTCTGACGAAGAAGTTTCTGATCATGAAGGTGATAAAATGGTTTCACATACATGGGACGGAATAAAACCAAAGTCTGATGCAGAATTCTTGGAAGATCACGAGCTTACCGAAGATGTAATCTCAACTTCGGAAGATAAAGCAGTCAATCCTATTGATTGCTATCGTCACTTCATCACGGACGAAACTATTGGCCTCATGGTTCGTGAAACTAATCGATACGCTCAGTACACGATCAACGCTTCAACAATAAAACCAACAACCAATGCAGAGATGCTCAAGTTCTTTGGGATAATTCTCGAAATGGGATTAGTAAAAATGCCGAAGCTGAACTATTATTAGAGCTCTAGTCAATTATATGACTCGCAGATGATTCGAAATACCATGCCAACAGAGAGATTTGAATTACTCCTCGAATTTTTGGCATTTTGCGGATAACAATAAGGAGAATGCGAATCAAGATAGATTGTTCAAATTAAAGCCACCTCTAAACTTATTAAAAGATAGATTTTGATCAGTTTATATACCGGGTTCAACTGTCACTATTGACTAAAGTATGATACCATGGTGAGGCCGGCCTTCATTTAAATAATATATACCTGACAAAGCACGCACGTACGGTGTAAAGATGTACAAATTATAGCAGCAACGAATGGTTATGTTTGTAATTGTATGACTTATACAGGCTGTTATGGCACGTAATATGACGTACCATAAGATGACTCATGACATAGGGTCTTTTCCATATGTTCGTTCTCTTTCTTGTCTTATATACATGTTATTACTATATATATCCCTCATTCTCGATCCTAATAGGGATTTTCCAGAGAGCTTCATCTAGGTTTCTTGCTTTGTAATAACATCTTTGGAATTTTACAAGCTTAGATGAAATCTATTTTAGTATATTCCAACTACGTGTGTGGCATACTATATAAATAGCTCTCGTCTTTTATGGAAGAGCGTCTTGCTTTACTATTTTGAAATAAACTCGTTCTACCACACTACACGGACTTAACACAGGCGAACAAGATTTGACAGCAGGTGTCGGACATACACAAATAGTAGTAATCAAAACTATTGGATGGTCTTGATGATATCTACAAGCCCATCATATTCATCAAGTGTAGCAGATAGTGGAAAAACAAATTATCAAAATGAGCGTATCATGAAGCCTCAAGTTGTATTAGATTAAAATCAAGGAAGCCAAGGTACGGATCTATCTAACCAACTATTAACATATTACACATGTCTCAAAAAAAATCCATGAAATAGTACCGCAAGGTGACACTTGAATTGGTTTTCAGGACGGCATTGGTAAATGGTTATTTGTTATATAAGGAAAATCACACTGAAACCAAAGTAACCATTCTGCAGTTTCGAGAAAGTCTTGTCCGGTCTTTACTGCTTGGCATGTCAACGAAGAAGTTTAAATCCTGTCCAAGACAACAACCAGCAAATCATTCGAGGCGCAAACTTTTTGTTCTGACTGTGAGAAATTTTTTTGTCTCAGATGTTTTAACAATAAGCATTATGCTATGAAGTAAAGAGTTCAAATAAAATACTAAAGGCAACACAGTTGATCCCGTATATTTTATCTTTACGTTCACACAAAATCAAAAGAAAATGCTTTTCTACACAGATTCTCGTTAAAATAAAGCGTGGACTGCCGGTGGGCCACATCGGGTCGAATGTGCCAATGCCTTTTTGCTTGTGGGCTTAATAAGAAATCGCCACCCCTCATGTGTGCACTTTCTTCACCTGCCCAGATGAAATCTCCGTTCGGTGTTTTAGCTTTTCCTGTCCATCTCATTTCGAAAATGTCAGTTATACCCTATGAGAAACGTTTCATTTTGTTTCGCAATAATTCCAATTTTTCAGCAGCCCATGAGTCTGCACAGTCAATGTTCGAATTGTCAAAGAACTTTTGGCAAGCGTCAGGTTTTTGCGTGTTTTTCGTCGTATTTGAAGTCTTTCCAGTCGCCAATTTTTTTTACTCTGCCCTGGCCACTTAACAGAGGACGCGAATCTTGATTAGTCAAGCGCCGTTCGAGTCGGCATGGACTATCGCTGCTGCCGTTCATGGTTGGCTTCCGCCGTCTTGACCTTTTCTACAAACGGTGATATCGGCACTCCTTCCGTCTAACACTCCTTCTTTATTCGGACTTGTGACCGACATAGAGTCCACAAGCAATGGTCTCCATAATGAAGTTAATACATATATGGTGTCACGTTAACATGCCAGTAGCTGACCATAATCGGCTGCTGGTAAAAGAGAATAAACAATTTTGTGTGTCTATGTGAGAGGCATCTATACTTTTGTCATAACCTGTAAAATTGGCCAGTGTCCTTCGTTCGCCTATACGATAACTCTAGAGAGGCAAATGTGGATTAGTTGAAATTTTTGTTGATGTTTGAATATATCAAAATCTCGTTACAGTTCGAATAAGAGACTGATCGGATGAGCGATTCGTGGATAATTAAAAAATGAGTTGACATTTCTGTATGACACCTTATGTATTCTATGTGATAGATTTTTTGCAGTATATGTTACTTTCGGATAAAATACGAAGTTTTCCGCGTTTATTTCAACATATTACCTCATTCGGAAGTTAGTGTGCACCTAGCAAACCGTTTTCATATGTTTCGTAGTGCACCATTTTTATCTTAGTGTGTTGGCATACCAAGTTAGTTGCTCATGTCCAGATGTGTTATGCCCCTAACTAACGATGCATAGAGTTCCATTGCTACAAACTAGTAGTTTTTATCTGTAAATCAGTACTTGTTCATGTGAAGTTACTTCTTGGTGGCATTCGTTTATTCACATACGTGCTGTTTTTATATACCCAACATACATATCAAACACCTTTTTGTATAATTTAAATCTGCATCAATCAAAACTCAAACAAAGACATATAATGTCACGATGGCGAATGCAATATGTTTCCAAGCGGAGAATGCGACTGATAGTTTCTCTCTTGTTACTAGTTGCTAATGCTGTTGCTATCTATTATGCGGTCCGCTGTTATCCTAAACAAGAACCACTACATGAGATTCAAACTCATTTTATTAATAACAAGAAAACCTCTCCTTTCCGTATGCATTCCACTCTTTCGCACAGGAAATTCGATATTGTCTTAAACTACTACGCAGAAAATCCTGCTCTTGTCGCACAATACATCACCTATCTAAAAAATCTAAAGACTTTCAAAAATATTGATCTTCATATTATAGTATATACTAAAAACCCAAGAACGAATAAAACACTATTAAGAGAAATTTTGAAAGTAAATAATATCATTGAACTGCCAAATATAGGACGAGAAGGCGCGACGTATCTTCATCATATTATTGAAAACTATGATACAGTCGCTGATCACACCATTTTTACGCAAGCTGCCATGGCTGGTACCACCNGAGATTCAAACTCATTTTATTAATAACAAGAAAACCTCTCCTTTCCGTATGCATTCCACTCTTTCGCACAGGAAATTCGATATTGTCTTAAACTACTACGCAGAAAATCCTGCTCTTGTCGCACAATACATCACCCATCTAAAAAATCTAAAGACTTTCAAAAATATTGATCTTCATATTATAGTATATACTAAAAACCCGAGAACGAATAAAACACTATTAAAAGAAATTTTGAAAGTAAATAATATCATTGAACTGCCAAATATAGGACGAGAAGGCGCGACGTATCTTCATCATATTATTGAAAACTATGATACAGTCGCTGATCACACCATTTTTACGCAAGCTGCCATGGCTGGTACCACCATCACCGGTTTGCTGGGCTGGTTTATAGATCGACTAGAAAATCAATTCAATTCATCTGTTGGGTATATGCCACTTGTATCAAACAACATGATAAGCAACTACAATTGTGGATTCCATCAATCCGGACATTACCCAAGATTGACAGAAATGTGGGGGATCCTTGAACAAACGATATGTCCTCCTGGAGGCCAAGCAGTAAGTAAAGATACATCTGAGTACTGCGAGTTGATTTAGAGGATGATCCTGATAAGTGCAGTAGTGTTAAACTTGAAAGTTGAATTGAAGCATTCAACCATCCGTTCAACTATTCAAGTTTCCACTTACTCCAGGATTCCACTATATCAGTAGCCACCTCACACCCTCTATTTTTTTAGGTGACTAAGTGTCTATGAGTTCACATAATAGTTCGTTTATAGATACTTTTGTCATGAGATTTATATAGTCAAAACCACTCTAATATATGTGGGTTATTAATAAAATATTGTTGTGGCTCAAATCAAACCCGTGAAGAGTGGTTTTACAAAGTTAGCCGCGATAAGTGTTATGAGAGCTCTGATTGTTATATGAGAGATTTGAAGAAATCCTCAAATTCTTCGATCACTTGATTCAATGAAGCGAATGTAATGGCATAGTTATCAAGAGTATATCGCGTTGCTCTAAATAACTCGCAAAAATTATAACAAGCATGATCGATGTTCATTCCCGATCAACGACGTTGAAAACTACCATAATATGGCGTATGTATTCATAAACGGGTAATGAATAAGTTGCTAACTTATCATTTAGCACATACTTGGAGCTCGCATGGTACTTCCGGCGGTTAACTCATAAAATTGGCCTCTATAGACTTCATTTCAAGTACAATGATATCATCTGGCGAAGTTACGTATATTAGAGTGGTTTTGAGCTCATAAGTGTCACGACAAAAGTATCCATAAATGAACTTTTATTAAAATTCATAGACACTTAGTCACTATAGAAGTTAGAGGTAATATGACATCAAAGCCTTCTGAATGGTAACGCAAAATACATGAGATGGAAGGTATTCAGCCTGCACCAAAGAAATATTTGAGAAATCAGCGTCTAGACAGCCTGTACAGTCTAAGAAATGCCTTTTCAATTTTAGCTTGACTGTCAGGGAATAGAAATACGACAGCAGACTAGTAGGCAGTACGCTGTAAAAACTAAGCACAGAATACAAAACCCTGCAAACAGAATTTTAGGTACTTAAACACTTTCAGATGGCCTTTTTTGCCTGATTATCTCCATAAACCCTCTCGTAAACCTGTACAGCTAATCAACCCTGTGAAGGGTATTAGATAAGTTGCATTTTCATACATAAAAGCGTTTTCTCCTCATCATTCAGTTCCAAACGATGCACTACTAAACGAATTTATGAAGGGTTTATGAATTTTAAAAAATTCTACAGGGTTTAGACGGTACTCAAATACCTTGAATGTATGCGAAAGGACAACGTATCAAATACTCTTCACAGGGTTGATTAGATATAAAGGTTTACGAGAGGGTTTATGGAGATAATTAGGCGAAAAGGGTACGTGGAAGTATTTAAGTACCTAATATATCCTTCTGCAGGGCTTTGTATGCTGCGTTTATTTTTTACAGTGTACATATACGATCTCACGTCCACACACCATAAGGTAATCATTGGGTGAACCCATGAGAAGCCATCCACTTTTTCCAAAATGTTTTTAAAGGTTTTTCGCGCGTCAGGTAGATCCTCCACGAAAAATATCTGTGGAGTGACTTTCAAACTTCATATGGACGGAAATTACATACATCAATAGCAATCTTTCGGAACATATGGGTAGCTTTCATGTCATTCGATCATTTTTTTTCATAATAATTTCATAATAGTTGATCGAAAAACGGATGCTTCGAAAGAATATTGCATGTTTGCGCTTTTCGCTTGAGAGAAAGCTGAGAATGACTTCTCAGCTATTTTTTCATCGAGGGTCAGTCTGAGTCGCTAAAAAATCGTGAAAAGAAGACGCTTTCAATGATTTTACTTGAAACAAAATTTTCCACGAAGTGAATGACTTCTCCATGATTCATTCAAACACTTTCTATCAAATATTCCGAGTTCTCAAGTAATTCTTCGGAACACCTTTAGTATACTTCTATATAAAGATACTATAGCATGAAATACGGCAGAATTTTTTTAGCAATTTTTCGGTATTTTGTGGTATTGAGAATTATAAACGAAGTCTAAAAGCATGTTTGCTGCAAAACGTCAGACTCATCTCATTGGAATTATTGAGTGCTGAATGATATTTTGTCGTTATACCGACTTGCAGAAGTGATATAACGAAGTCGAAAAAGGGACAAAACTGTCGGAATGATAGATTTTCCATTTTACGTAGCGGATAGTCGATATTNTGTCGCTCGATATGCGTGTATTCTCATCCACAACCGATAAACTACCCTTTAACTGAAAGTGCAGGAAGGCATTTCAGCACATTTAGCGTTATTAAAAAGTTTTCTAAAAGACCACCCGGTGAAGTCATCTGAGTGTTGGTTCTGATGCTTCTTAGAGTTGTCCATAAAGTATACATAAGAACACGTTTTGATCACACTTTTTCTGATTTTCCATTAAAACCCAGGTCATTTTCGCTCAGTCAGAACCGGCCGGTTTTTTCAGTTCCTCATATTAGTTTCTGGTGGATTCTGGTCGGATTTTTGGTGGCTTTACAGAAAAACTCCTATTGGATTAGGGGATTCACTTCGACAGTCTTTATTGCCGTAAACAATGTTTACCAATTTCTTTTCGTTTGGAAAACGTCAAAGTCTTTTCTTATGTCGATTTGCCAATGGGCATGTCCACGTAAAGTGACACTTCGCTGATTAAGTTTTGAAAAATTTTTTTTTCGATAACAGCGTTTCTAAACACTGTTTTAGATGTAGTTCTTAGCGCTGATTACGAATCTGACGCCTATTTTGTTCATAGCCCACTTTTTTCAGTAAGAAAATATATTTGAAGTCTTTTGAGAATCGTATTTTGGGTGGTCTCAGCAAAACATTTCCTTAAAGCATGTTCTTCTACATACCATTTGATGCAGAATTTGATTCTCTACAAAATGACATATTAACGTTTGAGTTTTGTAGCAAAAGGCGGTTCGTGAGCTCCTTAGAAATTCTCGACTTGTTGCTTCTAATATGGACTTCTACATGAATATACTCATTCTATTTTCAGGTATAAATCATCACAGTACCGAGTAGACTTACACTTTAAAAAATCACTTCATTCTAAGCATCCTAAGGGTGTGAAAAATAATCAGCAAAAAACTGTGTCACAACGTTACGAAAAATGTCACAGCGTTACGTTTGTATTTCGTATTTTCTGTACGAAATAAAACACTGGGAAGAAAATCTTTCTTATCAACACAAAGTCCTTTGAAATCTCTACGAAACACTGCTTTATTATATTTTATTTGAATAGTATCTTATGAAAAAATTAACAACGAAAATAATGTACTGCGAGGTCAAGGTCCTTTTATGTCACGCTGTTACGCGACACTAAAATCATAGCAGAAATACAAGAGCTGAACCAAAATCTTTGATTTTTTTATCATTGATTGAGTTTAACGAACTGCATCTACGTGCGTTTGAACGAGATCCGTAACTTTTATAGTCTTCGAAAAAATCGAAAAATACTTTGTCAAAATGTCACAACGTTACGTTTGGACAAGCCNTTGGCCATGTCGTTGAACGTCTATGGACGATTATCTTCAGATGTTTCGATTCTAAACTTCCAGCGCGGTGCCGCCAAAGAAGATGCGCGTGTTTTGACTAGTTTATAAGCTGATGGAAATACGGCCTCTACATTCAATGTGTGTCGCTCGATATGCGTGGATTCTCATCTACAGCCGATAGATTACCCTTTAACTTAAAGTGCAGGAAGGCAGTTCAGCACATTTAGCGTTATGAGAAAGTTTTCTCAAAAACCACCCGGTGAAGTCATCTGAATGTTGGTTCGGATGCTTCTTGGAGTTGTCCATAAAGTGTACATAAGAACACGTTTTGATCACTCTTTTTCTGATTTTCCATTAAAACCCAGGTCATTTTCGCTCAGTCAGAACCGGCCGGTTTTTTCAGTTCCTCATATTACTTTCTGGTGGATTCTGGTCGGATTTTTGGTGGCTTTACAGAAAAATTCCTATTGGATTAGGGGATTCACTTCGACAGTGTTCATTGCCGTAAACAATGTTTACCAATGTCTTTTCGTTTGGAAAACGTCAAAGTCTTTTCTTATGTCGATTTGCCAATGTGAATAGTTTGATGTGTTGAGCAAGCACACTTATGTACTTCAGCATACTTCCTGATAATACAAGTACATTTTGGCGCATTTAGGGGAATTTAGAGACACTTTGAAATTGTTTGGGCTATCTCGGATAGGTAGAGCTGCTTTCACGTCTAGTGCCCCGATTTTAGGCACAGAGTTTTCTCTCTCCTTTGCTTTGAATAGCGCATCCTAATGGTAAATCGTATATCTTTTGTGATGTATGAGGTTGTAACCATATTTTCACGGTGAATATGAGGTCATAAGTGAACAACAAAACTGTAATTCGGAGCACTTTTATCTATGTGCTACCTTTCGATTTTCATTCTTGTAGATTTTCCTCAGCACAGTGGACCAAAAGGACCAAGGTTTTTAGCGGCATAGTTAATGTGCGATCATGAGTCGCTAATTATTTTCTCAGATGCATACACCAGGAAAAAACAGTGTATTCGCATTCCACACTGTAAATTAGACTTTTAAGTATTGAAACAGATAGCTACTAAGAAAATTGATTGCAATCATCCGGAATTTCTCTTAAAAAATACATTGCATGTCTTGCATAATGTGACCTTCGTATATCTTTCATTTCGTCCTCACCATCGATTACAATGATCCTGTATTGCTCGTAGTATTGAATTACGAAATCGAAAAATCTGTTTTCCCGAATTATGGATCCAAATACTATTAAATCGTATTTGTGTTGCATAATATTTTGTTTCACAACTCGTTTGCTTGATAGTTCAGCTTTGTCTCGTCTCCAAAGGTGTTCATAATTTCTCAGGGATAGAGCGTATCCATACCCCAATCCATAAAGTGCTTTCCTGTAGTATTTCTGAGTGTTGTTAAACGTCCACGTATTTTTAAATGAATACTTATACATGAACTCGGGTGGTTCATAAACATGTAGATTCTCTTTAAATGTCAATGTAAAGCCATGTAACATCAGGTCTTTCATGTAATCGGGTGAAGCATGGGATATATAAAGAACAGAATTTCTCGCAGACATATTTTGATGTTGGGAATAGTTCAGTGTTTTTAGTATGTACTCTGTCAGTTTCCGTGTTGTTAACCGGTGTCGTGAATAGTAGATTAATCGATGCAATAGGATAAAGTAGTGTGTGAAGTTAAAAACAGCGTGATCTAATTTCATTTCAGTTCTTTTAATACCATGCATATTACGAGCGTCATTTAACAGAGACTTGGGCAAGTGACTTAACGTGTAGTTTCCTGGCTCGTTCAGATTCTCAAAATATGGCATAGTTGCAGACGCTATAATTTCGTAATGTCTGTTGCAATCCCAGTCACCTTTTTTCTTGTTAATCGCAAAATACGCACTCATGTATTGCCGCTTATATTCGGCCTCGTCACCAAATTGAAATTCGTATGTGGTAAGTGTGACGAATTTCTTCGTTCACTAAACCAAGAGAGGAAGGTGCTGATGAGAGATGAGTTTATTTCTTATCCGAATCAAGCACACACTACTATACAATCCTCAGTCCTTATATAGTCCTCAGAATGTACAGTATCACGCCATATGCAATCAGCTGAGAGATTAGTCCGGGTAGCATCACGCCATATAAAATCAGCTGATCATCAGCTGTGAGAAAAGGATTAGTACTGGTAAAAGTACAAAGGTGAATACCGAGCATATGGCTCGATATGCTCCAGGTGTAGAAGCTAAGTGCAAAGAGAGTGGATGCTAACTGTGGATCGTCACAGTAAGATCGCCTGGTATTAATCTGCTAAAATCTCTATTTTTCTTGGGTATACACGTTTCATGCACCACCTGATGTTTATCATCGTAGTAAGCTGTATGAGAAATTGTGTCCAGAAGGTATGTCTCGATGAAGCCGAAGGCTAACGGGAAATAATCAACCGTGAATGGCTGTCGAAGAAATGAAGAACCGCTACTAATATTACTGTAAGTACATGTTTTGGGCGGCGGATATTGCGATATCAATTGATTGGTTTCGTTATCTAGCCCTTTGTCGATAGCAATGTGAATGCGTTGTTCGGGTGATAAATGTTCGCCATGTATGGCAGCACATAAATTCATACAAGTAACGACACACCACGGCTCTATACACGGAAAGTTTACTTCACTGTACTTCTGACTCCGTCGATCAATTACATGACCTTGTTCTGGCCTCGTTTGAATTTTTGCTGATTCCTCGTAGGTATCCTTTTCGATATAAATCACAGACAGACGCATCATTAAAACTACTATTACACAACAACCGACGATTCGCCGTAACTCTAAATGTCACAAAACCAATGAGTATCCACTGTACATATAACAGTTTATAGCTTTCTTACTGCTTGTTCTTTTGTAATGCACCATTGGATCAAGTTGTATTCAAGAGTTTCAAATCTACTTCATTAGCTTCTCTACATAATGGCCACCGGAATGTTGAGAGCACAGCCACGTAGGGTATTCTAAATTACACTGTATCATTTTCGAAGGATTTTAAGGTTCGAGCACAATCTGACTTTATCCAAAACTTTTCAGTTTCCCTTAAAATGGTTCTGGCCTTCCAGAGAACAAGTCAAGTTTAGTTGTTTTACCTTCCACTATCTATTGGTTTTATATTTAATTAGTTATCTTTGTCTTTTAACTGCCACTTGTATCACTAGCTTATTTTTAACTACCTACTCTTAATCCTACTCTTAATCTATCCATAGCTGCCTACATCTACGTCTGCTCAATACCATCCACTTCGATTCGTAATTTTAACTTTATCATAAACAGAATTCTTTTACGTCTATCTTTGCCTTCACGCCACATCTCATTCTCGTCACCTACTTTAACTAGGTCAGCCATTGTTGTACAGTAGGAAGTTGCGGAATATTCTGCCATATCAGATTATTATTCGATTTTTGTAAACAAAGATAATATTAGTGAGAAAATGAAATATTCTAAGTCAAATTAATGTTGATTCAAAGAATTTCAGTTGATTACTATTTTCATTTTCCGACAGTAAAATCGAATTATGATTGGGATGTGGTGGAGATATAATCTTACCTCCCTGGCAGCATTCACGCTCAGGTCTTTCAGAAACAGGAAGTCAACATTTTTCAATATATCTGCAAATGTATAAATGAACTTGTTTTTAAATCATCCGAAAATATACCACATTTCTATTCGTAGAAATCAATTTTCAAGTCACTGCTAAATTAAATGAACTTAAATTCAAATAATATGAAAAAGGAGCTTTTTCTTGTTTCTATCCATGCTTAAAAACAATATATTTCTAGTTGATTGAGTTTTGAAGCGATGTTCGGGACAATTTCTACGATATACGGCTGTAAGCTTGACACGATTTTTTCTCACCTAATAGATTATTTCTATTCTGTATGTTCTGACATACTTTGATATGAAACCTACTTGCGTTCTCTTCTGTGATAGCGAGTATATCAACGCGTGTCTTGTATCAAAATGATGTAATGTGCGAGGAAGAAATGAATAAAGGCATAGTTTCATCCAGATATGGGCAGGCCAAATCGAAATTTTTCCACATATGCGTAGGCGTTTTGAACGTTTTAGTATGAAATTTAGACTTCAGATTTGCCAGAAACTCCGAACCAAAGACGATGGACTAACTCATAGAACCAATTAGCGCCAGAGATGGAAGGTCAAGTATATTTACGACTTGAATCAAGTTAAATCAAAGAAAGTTAGATGACTTGTGACTTGTGACTTGACTTGAATAATAACTTGGACTTGAAGATTCTTGGGCGTAATTTGACTTGACTTGGGTCGAAAAGTTGGAAACTTGCCCATGTGTGACTTATCAGCGCGCGCATACATTTCTTCCATCTAAAGTCGTCAAACTTGTGAATTTATATTAGATCTGCTCACTTGGAAGCTTTGGTCACCAGTTTTTACATTTCACCAACAATCACCTCAAATGAGAATTAAACTTGGGATGCATCTGTGGTAACCTGATTTGGGGTAAATGATAACCTAGTGCTCAATCCTGTATTTTGACGATTGACTGGTTGGACGAATTTCGTCTTCTGCTCGCAATTTCAATCTATAGTCGTATTTATTGCAATGACAACTATACCTATAGACCCAGTTTTTCATAGGTTTTAATCTGGTATAAAATTCATTTCATTATGTAGCCAGTTCGAAATTGCAGCATTATCTCCTACCAAAAGCTTATGTGCAACTCCGTGGAGTGATTTTACTGAAAAACGCATTAATTGATTTCTAGACGTTCTCTGTAGATTTTGCGCAATATTTTATAATGCGTTCCGATAAAAAATCGAATGAAATGCTTCAATTCATTCCAATTTCGATCATTAATTAGGCGATCAATATGTTGATAAACATAAAACTCGTCTAAATCGATCATTTGTTCTGGTTTAATGTAATGATAACTGCTTGGTTCCTTCTCAGACAAAGCTTCAGTTAACCCAAATTCTTGGATAGTTTTATCAGGTGTATTTCTCCAGAATCCAGGTATGATTGTCATATTGAATCCCAAATGAAATATTAGACAAGATAAGGCCACATCAGATTGCGCAGAAGACGTATGATTCGGTTGGGGCCAGATCGAATTTACGTATTGAATTAAGTGTGGGTAAATCGCGTCCACGAGAGCCGCACTATAAACGTGTGCTGTATTACCCCCGACAAACAGACTTTTGTAGCTCGTTCCATTCGAATGAAAGCAGGTCTGAGTTCCAACTGAACCCCCAATAAAGTATGGTATTTGAGAATCGTAAGCATCAAGCCGTTTCAGTAGATGCGGCACGTTTACATACGTGTCGCAGCCAACTAAAAAGTACCATTTGTGACGTGAAGATGCAGGAATAGATAGCTGAGCTTTATATATGAGCTCTAACCCATAAAATATTTTTTTAGTATTTGATTGATAATCTTCGCCTGTATTATTTGTGACGGTGACAGGTAAACTAGGATCAGGAACAGAGCTAAGGAAATAATAATTAGTTACACGAGATATCCACGTGAGCCGTACAGCCCTTGCACGCGTCAAATAAAAGGGAAACGCCGTGTATATGATGAAAGCTATATCATCCTCATGATACCTTTTTGCTTTTTTCCACCCATTCATTGGATTGGGAATTTTCAGGCAATAATCTCTAAGATGTAGTGCAGGATGTGAAATATTCTTCGCATCATTTTCGAAAAGCGGCTCTCTGTAATCGCACACGAAGCTTTTCCGTACACCATTCTCCTCTACGATTGCACTGAGTGCTACCTGTTGTATGTTGGGATCAATTGAATAATTTGTTCTTATATGGTACAGATACAAAACTGAAAATAAAATCAGTCCGACAATTACCAATAATCGTGTTTGAAATCTAGCCATTTTTATTCAAAATAAACCTGCTTTTTTCAGATGGTGCGACGTTTATTTCATGACATTCATCTGTTTTTGTAACTTTTATATAAAATTTTCCCGGCGGTTACGAAAGAATACAAATACAGAACGAAAACGCATTAAACGGACAGCAACGGCGAGGTCCACATGCTATAAGTTATTTGTTCATCTGATTTTGCCTGTTCCACCGAAATCATGCATCGTAATATTGACGAAGCTTAGCTGTGGAAAGAAATCAGACCTTCCGATATCTAATAATTAGACGCATAGACCCATTACGCCATCCCTAGCTAAAATAAACCCATTGTAAACGATGAAGTTCGGATTGTTCTTTTAAATCAGAGAAATTTTACTCTCTGATTCAAAGAATTTTCTTGAAGACATTATTAGGTGCCTATAAAACACTGAAATGTCTCGTTGTGATCGAATGTATATGAATACATTACAACCAATTTTGTCTCCTTGTTCTGAATTTATACACGCAGTTAGTGCTGAGCTTTTCTTGCCGTAAATTTTTAAAACAAAATTAAGTTCTTTTTATTCCTTCAAGTCAAAAGACATGCAAACTAACAGAATCATCGTAAACGAGACGATGCCGGTTAATTGTTCATCTTATGTTTAAGAAAACACAGATATATAAATTCCAACGCGTTGGTTTTCACTAATTTGGTAATTCTCCATCTGGTGTAGAAATTAGGCCCGCCAATTGGAGACTTTGTGGTTTGAGAAAAAATAGATCAGTAAAAGGGATTATTTACAAGTAACGCTCGTCAACAGACTCGCGCAGCTCTTTCTCGTAGAAGGAGTGCTTTCAGATATTACATTTCTAATGCCTTATCGCGTCTATAACTTTGTTCTGTAAAAAACTTTAAAAAGCTAACGTTAGATTCGTATCTCCATACCTCCAAAACCCTATGGTCAACTTTTAGAAAAACAAGTTTTTTTTTCATAAGGAGTGATCCTCTCTTGAAAAAAAAGTGACCCATAAAAAAATAACATCACATTCGAAGTTTTCCCAACGAAATATCCCTAGAAATGTGTTTTTAGAAAAACTGATTTTCGATGTTTTTTTTACCTTGCGGACATACAAGCAAACAAGCAAACAATTCATGTTTCTAAGACTCTTCTCTACGAGAAAGAGAATAATTTCTTGCTATAGATCTCAAAGAGATTGCCATGGAGCAACTTTCGAAAAACAAATAGGATATGCATCATTTTTCAATATTAAAATATATACAAGATTTAAAAAAATGTGTAACTACTTTTATTGTGTAGAGGCATCGCAGTATCGTATAGGCGCTCAATAATGTCCAAGAGAAAAATCCGGATTTTATCATTTTCTCAAGTTCAGATATCAACAAATAAAAGATGTCGCAAAACTTTTGGAACGCCCGGCATAACAAATTATTCCGTCATGACACCGATGATGGAAGGAAAGAAAAGGCAGAAATATCGATGTATCGGGTGGCAGGCGGCCTCCTGACGATTTATTGATAATAAACAAGAATGCGAAGAGGAGGAGAGCAAAACGAAGACACAAGACTTGAGATCACGGCTGTATATAGATAGAATAGACAAAGAGATAGACGAGATGATATCATTCTAACAACGATTAACACCTGTAACAAAGGAAAGACCTAGAAATATGAGGTTGATCCCGTCACAAAATGAGTGGATTCGAACCAATTTCTTTGAAGACAAGGAAAATACTCTCACGTTTGACTGTATACTATAGATTTTACAAGATGACTCTACATATAGCTCATTTCAGACCTCTGCCTCTTGTTATTCTACTACAATCGTGCGCACCCTTCTGGATGTACTGATATCGCACAAATCATATGGTCATTTTTTTATCTTCTCATCGTATATGTTCTGCATTTTTCTCCATTTGAGGACTTTCGAAAATGTCTCCCATCTTCATCGATTATTGAAGTTCTTGCTATTCAATTTCTAAGTGAACACTTATAAAGCTCATTGGCGGTTGGGC